AACCAAGTCAGATACAAGGAAAGCTCAACACATTTCAATCATGAAACCCTTGGGGACATATCATATAGGCACGAAACACAAGAATCATACTAGCTTTTACACATCTACACATGAAGAACTTCAATAGCAACCTGGACGACCACCATAGAGGACATTCGAGTGCAGAAAAATCGGGTAAGGGAAGAGTCTCCCTTCTGTTCACCAACCAACCTAGACTTGAATCAACCACTTATTCAAGACAGTCAGCTCATGCATAAAACTCAAGACATCAGAATCAAGACCGAGCCATCTAGGTCCTCACCGGGGTAAAGAGTGTAAAGAACAAGGAAATGAATCGCTCACTCTCGACCAGTGGGATCAGGACAATTTGATTCAAAAAATGCGCATACTTATTCTCTCAATCCCTAACGTCTCTTCACCATGACGACAACCTCTAAATGTTAGAGTTCACATAAATGGGTGTCATCCCTAACTTATCCGGAGGTCTTAGACATAGGTTCAAATGACTGGCTAGGGTCTTGGACATGGGGAAAAGGCCTTTTAGGTGGTGGAAGTATTCATAGCACAAGGTTCCACAGTTCCAAACCCAACACATTCACCGCCAATCAAACCACTTACTTTCTTTCTGCCATTCTGCATTACCCAAATTATTTAGAGCAAAAGAGCGAAGGAGCTCACAATAATGTTTGTATTTCTAAGCCAGACTGCTAAGAAACACTACTTACCGAGCATGATTCATATTTTTGGCAGTGGCTCTCTTTAGCTTTCATCCATTTTTTTCTTCTTTTTTCATTTCTTGAGAGAACCACCATCTCTACACATTTTTCAAACACATGCCCAACTTTTTTAAGAACTACTTCCAACCCTCACATTATTTTTAGCAGAAACAGCAGAGAACATGTAAAAACCACTCCGTGGAACCTTCTAAGAGATGAAAAAGGGTGATTTTCCATTACAAACCGAAAGAAATAAAGTGACACTGCTCAAAGGGGCTGACTAGGGGGTATGACACACCTGGACAGTCAATTTGGTCGTGAGCTATTCCTATGCCTCCATCATCTTAGCTAATGACAACGTGAATGCTACACATCATGGAAGAGGGATCTATCGCACAAGAAAGAAACGAGCAGGCTCAAATCTCGCATGGCTACCTATATGCTCTATCTCTCATTCTGATTCCCTGAACTAGATGCATAAACGACTTTCAATAACAAGTGATAAATCCAAGTCACAGTTGGTAAGCAAACAGTTAAAAAATTGAACTCCTACACAATTCTACTGCACTTCTCAGTCATCATAATAGGCTGTCCTAGTCACAATCCAGTTGTCATGCATTAATTCAAAAGCCATTCAATTCACCAATTAAACCCACAGTGCCAATATGATCATGCAAACATCTGTACTTGGAGCCCTCAAATCTCGAGATTTGGACAGCGGACTAGGCTCCAAGCACACAGACTCATCTAGCAGTCAACAGTAGATAAACACCCCCACACTTAAGCACAACATTGCCCTCAACGGAGCAGAGGGAAAGACAAGAGGAAACGATGTTACCGGGAATACAGACTTCGGAGGACTGGAAATGGGACCAGTTAGCATGGCTAGAGTCATCAAAACACACTGGGTGATAAAAACCATAGTTCCAAGTGGACAAACCAAAAACAAACGAAAGAAAAACAAACCTTGGTGGGGTTGCCTCCCCACAAGAGCTTCTTTACCGTCTTTAGCTGGACGGTGGCTCCTAGGTTTCGGTCCGCCCCAGAACCTCCTTGAAGTTGAGGTTCTCGTCGATGATGTGGAGTCTCAAGTCACAAGCAGGTGATGTGATAGGTGATGAAGATGGCTCGTGGCCTTGAGGAAGATGAAGTCTCCACACTCGAGACCTCTCCTTCGCGTTTGCTCTTGTGTCATTTCCCCAAACCAGATAAGATATCATCGATTGACCACTATCGCATCCACCAAGAGGGATTGATGTTGATGTGGTCTTGGTCTGGCAAAGAGACATTGCAAATGGGTCCTTGCCAAATTAGCTCCTCGAAGTTTGGTGGAGATATCACATGTAACATAGGGCCGGTGCAAGCCTCTTCCACCGCAACTTCATCCTCAGCCTGGACGCCAATTGCTTCCTCAACCCCCCTTCCTTCTTCACAATGTGGTATCTTCCCTTGGAAAAGATCAAGAACTTCATCTTCTTTGCTTTCTTCCTCATCCTCCAGAACGTCTTCTCTCACCCTTTCTCGCTCTTCTTCTTATAGCACAGATTGGAGAGCAAGTCTCCATGTAATTTCTTCAATGAGATCATCTTGCATCTCCTCGCTCGGGCCCAGCATATCAGAGCGGAAATGGGAACAGTTGTGATCTACCACCAGAGGATACACTTGATCATTATTATCATGGGAGCTTTCCGTGATAACTTCTGCATGCTCCTCAACATCCTCATGATTGCCTTCTTCTTTCTCTTCCTCTACTTGTATGGAATCATAAAGGTTGTCTTGAGAAAACTGTGCACAAGCTTTCTCAATGACCTCTATGTGCTTCTTTATGCTACGAAGGGTATCCTCTGTTTCACGGGGAAAAGAGAAGTCAGTTTGGACCAGGGCCTGGATATGAGGATCCATCTCGGGAAATGATCTCTCAGGTACTCGAGCAATCTGCTCCACGAGAAGCCTCAAGTGATAGTTTGGATCTTGCTGTGGAGTGTAGCATGGCTCTGCCGGATGGCCCGTGAAGGTTGTGGCTAAATCAAAGATCTGATGGCCTTTCTAGTTGTGGGAGGAATTCTTCTTGATAATGAGATTGTTCTTGAAATACCCAAGAGCCTGATTGTTCTTCGTAGTAGGGGGGTTGGTACTGAAACCCGAATCCATAGTCTTCTCCTCTTTGGGTGCTCCAGGAAGTCTCGGGGTAATACCACCCGGATGGTGGTTGATACCCCCAATGGTTGGAGAAGCCATGAGGATCCATGTTTCGGATCTGCACAAAAAATAAAAAAATAAAATAACACCCAAGTGAAAAGCAAGGGTGGAAAAGTAAAGGAAAATGCTAAAGTAACAGACTTTCACGTTTCTACAATAACCTAGGGTCCCCGGCAACGGTGCCAAAAACTTGACACGCCAAAACACAACACCAAACTGCGACCAAGTGTAATCGCAGTCCGAAAATGCAGTAAAGTGGCAAGTTCTAATTATCAACCCGGGTCTAGATCTACTGCCTACTCCGTGAATATCTATTATCTAGCCAACTAAGTCGATTGATTGAGGTTTTAACTAAAAGCAGTAAGAAAGCAGGAAATGGTTCGATTTTCTGAAGCAAAGGAAGAGTCACTCGGGAATGAGTCCCCCTAGCTCCTTAGTTAGGTCTCAGTTGTAATTACCCTGGGTTGATTTACTGATGATTAAACTGCGGAAGATCCAACAGTAGCTTGGAATCTCTTAAGCTGGCCAAGCCCTCTCAGTCCAACTACCCGACAGACGACTAGTCTTCACCGGGGTAGAAAACTGAGGCAAAAAGGACAGAACTCCACTACTGGAGTTGGGTTCCAGTACAAATCAGTAGACTGATTAACTCTCGTATAACCAATCTACCACTACAGAATGATGAAGCTCTAACAACCTAATCAGATTCTATCTATCTCAGGTTGCAACAGAAATCAAGAAAAGATGATCAGACTTCAATTGATTCAATGAATCATGCATCATTCGATTAAAACCAAATAGTATAGCAATCCCAAGTCATTACAATCAAGATCCCTGACACATGGAACTAGGTTTCTTCATACCCAAGTGAGAGAAGGTTCTACTCCATAGAGAGGGAGAGAGGAAAACAGTAATCAGAGTAGTCATACTCATAAAGATGAGGGAAATCTGCTCTGGGATGATGATCTTCACTCCAAGGATAATTTCCAAGATTGATTGATGAAACCCAGCTCCAAAACCACTCTTAGGGGGTGTTCTTCGCCCTTTCTCTCTCTAGGGCTCTGTTTTTGCTCCAAAAAGTCGATTCCCTCTCTTTTGGCTCGAATCTGCCTCAAAAACCCGATTCTGGGCGAATTACGGGCTGAATTACGGTCGCAATCATGGTATGCCCATAATTGCCCAAAACGCGCGTTTTACGTAACTCCGAGGATGGGAATTACGGTCGTAATTACCCAATTACTGCCAGTAATTATGGAATTACGACCGTAGTTACTTTGACTCTTGCCCGTAATTGTCTCTGCGACAGGAATTCTGAAGAATTAGGCTCGGCATTGCATTTACAAGCAAGACCGGAGCAATTACGACCGTAATTGGTCAGGGTCTGCCCGTAATTCTTCCTCCGCCCTGTTTAATGTTTCGTTTCTCCCTCGTCCGGACTCCAAATCAGTCGCCGTTTGATCCCAGACGCTCGTAGCCTCGTCCTCTTTATTTTCATCACAAAATTCCATGATTATTTGTCCATAATATGAGGTATAAGTCCATTATTCCTCAGCTCATGCTCGTGTTTCTTCTCCCGAATTGCCAAATGATCTCTGATTGACTTGAAACTTGCGCCTATGCTTCAATTACATGATAGGACCTGAAATGTGACAAAGGAACACAAACTAGCGTTAAATAGTAATGAACTTTAAAGAAGTAGTTGTTATAAAAGACTTACCTCTTTGCCCAAGCTGAGTCGACACGATGTTGACCATGTCCCTTAAGAAGTACCAAATCGACCGGAGCTGGATCATTTGTCATAGGTGGTGGTCTCATGGAATAACTGTCCATAAGCCTAGGAACTGAAAAAGCAATAAAAAAATAATATTCAAAACATAATAAAACTTGTCGCCGGAGAGAATCCTCACCTCAGTACCGGCCGCCGCTACCACGAGCTTGCCGCCATCTCCCCCTTACTATGCCGGCGACCACTTCCTCGTCGATGTCGAAATCCTTGGCAAAACCAAAACCAACCAGATATGCTTTCTGCGCGCGGGAAGAAGAAAACTGCCAGTGGATTCGCTTGGGACTTAGGTGAAGGCTGCCATGTCTCCGACGGGTCCGCTTGAGGCCGTGGCAAAGCCGCCTGCGTCTTCGGCCTATGCGCTGGTGGTCGGACGGGTCCGCTGGAACGAGGAAAGGAGCGGTCGTGGTTTGTATGGAGAAGAAGAAGATAAGATAAGAGGAGGGGGCGGGATCACGAGAAAAATAATAATGGAGGTGGGTACGCCCGAGTCGCAGGTGCCTCTTCATATATTTCAAAACATACGCCTCAGGCTCAAGCTGGTCTGCCAGTTACAAATTCAAAAGCTCAAAAAGCGGGTTCGCCCGAGTGTAGCGTGAACTTGCTGTTATTTAATACTTTGAAAACCGTCAAATTGGTGGAAAATAAAAAAAACAATATTTTGGGAATAATTGGCAGTAGTCGGAGATTTTGCCAATGAAACGGATTCTCTCTTGTGCTAGCACCCAACTAATAGCATCCTTATCCAAAAAAAAATAATCATTTAAGGGTAGGCATGTGAATAGTTGATATGCGGTTTGACATCAATCAACCATAAGGTAAACCAAATCCCAGGTCGAAAAATAAATAATGTTTTTGAACTAGTACTATTAGTTACTATTTTATATAATATTTATTCGATATTGTAATGCAAATTATGAACATTTAATTGTATCAAAGGCATAAAGAGCGTCAATTATTTCTACACAATTGGTTGCAGGGCGGAGCTAGAATTTAGCGTTCCAGGGAGGGGGGGGGGGTGCGAATTTTTATTTTGTAACCTTGAGAAGACGATTAAATTAAAAAAAATTATTTTATTATTGTGATCATAATTTTTTTATAAGGATGATGATCATAATTTTAGATGATTAGAGTCACTCAAAGTAAGATATAAACTTAAACTTTCTATCGTGCTACAATATATATTGAAAATATCAACAAATTAATATGTTGTGCAACACATTCTATTTTCATACTTGAAAATTAATGTCTAGTATTTTATAAAGAATTTGAATTACTCACCCGAAAGTATTCTTTAACATTTGAAACTTGAAATTAAAGGGCTTAAGGAATCATATTGAAATTGACAAAATTAAGACATCAACATAAGATGAAAGTTGAATGGATAATTATTGGAACATAAAACTTAAATTATAAATTAAAGGAACTTAAATTCATAAGATAAAAATCGACTAATTATAGATACATACTAAAACTTTTAAGAATCATATTATAAAAAATAATCGAGTAACTATTGGTAGTGAAAAGGAACACTATTGGTAGTGAAAAGGAACAAAAACTAACATTTCAGGCTTGTTGGGTTTTGAGCCCGCGTTGCAGAGGAAAATTATAAAGTTCCCAACCGTTGTGTTAGCTTACCTTCTATTATTTTTGACGCACACGATAGTCTTTTACTAATGGCTTTAGTTAATACGAAAATTCAAAACACCGACATACTTTACACGTAATTTTCAAAATCTCGAGGGGCGGGACCGGGGCCGGTCCCCCCGAGGGGAGATGTAGCTCTGCCCCTGATTGATTGTTGAAGTAATAAAAGATTTGATACCTTAGAATTTAAGACTCAACATTTAAAAATTAAATTAAATTATATAATAAATTAAATAATTCGTATATTAAAAAATAATATAAATAAACTCCGTGTCTGCATTGTTAAAAAAAAATCTACATATCCTACTAGACAATACTTCACGAACTTATCACATATTCGATTTCTAACCTTGTTCTTAATATAGCTCAAAGTAGAAAAGACTCTTTCAACACTTGCCGTGTAACCATAAAATCAATTCAAATTAAGGGTAGCGTGTACGTAGTTTAATTATTATGTATTGAAAATAGTTGGGGATAAAGAAATAGCATTTTACTGTTGCATGATGTTTAAAATAGAATAACAAATGAGTAGCAACATAATTAGAATATGTTTGATAATAGTAGTGTCTTAGGTTGGAATAACACGGACTACCACTTATATTTTGTTAATCATAAGCAAACTATTATCGAGGGTAGGGTAATCATTTTTTCAAATGTTAGGGTGTCCCGGATTACCAATTATATTTTGTATACCCATACGAAACTACTACCGGAGGTTGGATAATCGTTTCCCCAAATTTTAGGGGTGTCCCGGGACACCCCTAGAGGCCCATGTATCCGCCCCTCGCCGGAGCAACCCCACAACTAGGAGCAGAGGGATTCTTAATGAGCAAAGACAACAAATCAACCGTAGCAATTTGGGAAATTGAAGAGTTATTTGAAGGGCAACTTTTACATGCTCAAGATAGAGTCTATAACCATGGGTTATGCATCCATTAATAACTAAATCTGGACACTTCATTTAGAAAATTCAGATCTAAGGATGAAGAATTAAAGACCATTTTTATTTTCCCTAGCTTTCTTAATCGGCTCATATCTTCTTCGTTTTAACTCGGATTTTGATTTTTTTTTTTTTGCACAGATTGAAAGTGTTCGTTGTGCTCTACAAAATGAGATACATTTTCAATATTTTTTGAGAAATTTTTTTTCCTGCCTCCTGGTATCAACTGCATACCATATGTTATCTTCTTCGTTTTTAATTCGTTTTTGAAAACGTTTGCACAGAAGGAACGAGTTCATCATGATCTATTGGATCTACAAATTTCTAGATGAACAAATTACAATACCAAAAAATACCACACAATACCATACAATACCACCCTGGTACGGGGTGGTATCTTGTGGTACACAATGTTAAAAGTCGTAAATGATAGTTAATATACTTCTACTATCATGTATTTAATCATCCTACACTATTGGTTTGTTCATACCACCATGGTACGTTTTTCAAACCATATGTATGCTCTTATTTCAATACCAGTCAATACTATATGGTCGATTGGCTTGCGTTGAACCGAACTAGAGCAAGAGGAGGAGGAGGGACATGAATGAATTGGCTGGCGACATTTTTGTGTGCATGGTGTGGATGGTTGATGGAGTACAAAGCATTAAGCATGTGTTAAGAATATATAGAGTCCCCTGAAGTTAGCAGTTTTGGGGGGTAATTGTTGGATTTTCTGCTTCAAATTCGGCCATGAGTTTGGTGCTAATATAATATGACGATGTTTAGAAAGCTGTTTGTTTTTGTTCAAACGTTGGAACGGTACAAAAACTGTCTTGTTGTCTTACAAGGTCACAAGGTCGAGCCGAGTCATGATATGAGTGACCTGCTGATATATGCTTCAAAGAATTGCAAAAAACTTGTGTCATTACTCATTAGAAAACAAAAAAAAAAAAAAAAACAAAAGGGGCATGATGGCCACATAATGAACAATTGTTCATTAGTCGGAGATTTTGCCAATGAAATGGATTCCTTTTGTGTCGGCATCAGTGACGAAACCATGAATTTTAGGATTTTGCTACGGTGACATGCATGTCAAACCATGAATTTTAGGATTTTGCTACGGTGACATGCATGTCACCGTGACATGGACTTTTCGGTCAACCTAATCATAAAGGCGGTCGACCGAATTGACTAATTTGGGCAGCACGAGAAAGCATTGCGGTCGACCTAATCCTAAAGGCGGTCGACCTCAATTCATAGCATAATTGATGAGTCCTTGTTATAATTATTTATGGCTAGTTATGATGGTTTAAAGCGTAGTTTAGATGAGCAAAAGAACCACACAAATCGACATACATAAGTAAAAAAGACACGGGGCATAGGTTGACTTTCTTGTATTCGGTCGACCTCATATCGGATTAGGTCGACCTCGACACCAACACTTTATCTTCATTTTACGTCAAATGATTGGATAAATTGATAGAACACTTATCGTCTATCTGATCGACCTCTTTCTTTATCTGGTCGACCATGTTGTTAATGACTGCCATCTAGTGGTCGACCTATATACCTTTACGGTCGACCATGTTGTTTCTCACGCCAACGAAATGGCCGACTGAGGTTTATTCTGGTCAACCAAAAATAATAACTTAAACTAAGAACGGTCGACCAGGTGGTCTTTTCGGTCGACCGCAATGCTTTCTCGTGCTGCCCAAATTAGTCAATTCGGTCGACCGAAAAGTCCATGTCACGGTGACATGCATGTCATAGTAGGCATACCCTGAATTTTATATTGGGTATCCTCTTTTAAAAAATAAAAAAATAAAAAAATAGATAATTCTTATATAAGAAAATACCTGAATCGTACGAGTTAAGAAAAATCCATGATTTGTATTCATATTCGAAAATAACTGTAAAATACACTTGGTGTCTACACTGCTAAAAAAAATTGTATTTGTATATCCTACTAGAATCATTCACAAACTGATCACATATTCGATTTTTACACTTGTTCTTGATGTAAACCAAAGTTGAAAAGACTCATTCAACACTTGTCGTACAACAATGTTTAAAATAATTTGTTTAATTGTTAGGTTCTGAAAATAATTAGAGATAGGGAATGACATTTTATTATTACAAAGTGTTTAAAATCGAACAACAAATGAGTTGTAGTATAAAGAAAATTATTTTTATTGATAATAATAGTGTCATCGGTTTGAATTACTCAAACTACAACTTATATTCCCATAAGCAAACTAAAAGATGAGATTAGGATAATCATTTTTCCAAATTTTAGGGGTGTCCGCGACTATCAATTATAATTTTTTTGTCCATATGTAATTTACCACCGGGGGTTGGATAATCGTTTTCCCAAAATTTAGAGGTGTCCCCAATGACCCGTACGTCCGCCTCTACCTAGTACCCAACTTATAGCATCGGGACAGGTTACGGTGATTACTAAGGGCAAACTGGGTATGCCAAAAAATTATTAATTATCTTTTTTAACAAATTACATTTTAGGAAGTTACAAAAATATATTAATTACAATTCTCTCTCTCTTTCTCTCACTTCCACAATCTCCAGCTAGATCTCTCTTCCTTTTTTTCCAATCTTTTCCTTGTTTTACTTCAGATACCGCTGCAACAATAAAACAATACCAATCCATTAAAAGAACACTACCAATGCATAAAACACCAATACCATTCGTGAAATGAAAATACTACCATTTCACAAAACACCAATACCATTGCAGATTTATCAATATCAATACATGCAAATCAATACCATTACATGATAATCAATACCAATGCAAAAAGAAAAAGAAAATAATACCAATGTGAAAAACACTACCACTACAAGAAAAACTACCATTTCACTGAAAAGCAATACACTTACATGATAATCAATACTAATGCGGAAAAAACGATACCAATGCGAAAAAACACTACCCTTACGAAAAATCACTAGCAATGCGGAAAAAACAATACCAATGCGAAAAAAATACTAGCA